ACCTGCACATGTACAAGCGCGCGCTTGCACGTGAAGATGCACATACAACTGCATAATCAGATGTACACATAAGCAGATGTACATGCACCTGCACATGTACAAGCGCGCGCTTGCATGAGAAGATGCACATACACCTGCATAGGTAGATGTACATAAGCAGATGTACATACACCTGCACATGTACAAGCGCGCGCTTGCATGTGAAGATGCACATACACCTGCATAAGCAGATGTACACATAAGCAGATGTACATGCACCTGCACATGTACAAGCGCGCGCTTGCATGTGAAGATGCACATACACCTGCATGATTTACATAAGCAGATGTACATGCACCTGCACATGTACAAGCGCGCGCTAGCATGTGAAGATGCACATACACCTGCATAAGTGATGTACATAAGCAGACCCCAGCAGCAGACATCAAGGACTCTGCTGCACCTCTTGGTCACTTCTGGCGTATGGGCAGTAATGTGTATCTGACACACACGCACAAACACACACATTTATAAACAAAGATTTACAACGCCGCCACAAGACCTCTTCTAGACCTATATTCTCATTGTGACGGAGAATCTGGTCGGTACTGGAGCAGGCGGTCGTGGAAACCTTGAAAGACGTACACCCTGACATGTCGAGTCGCGTACATTCAATTATTACCTGCGAAATTCATCAGCTGCTTCCGAAGATTTCATCAGGGATTTTCGTTTGCGCGTTGGTGTGAATAGCTTTTAAGCACTGTGCGCGGATGTGCGAGAAAGCAACAACGGAAGTTCAAATCAGCTAGACACTTCGCGGAAATGTGAAATTATTACTTTTTTACATACAGAAGTTAGAATGAGTATATTTTTTAAAAATATATATAATCAGTACAAATAGCAACGACATCGCTGTATTGGAAGTGTGTCTAAATTCAGTTACAAGATTTGCCACAAACCCACAAACCTACAAACCCATTAAACAGAGAAAGAAATAAACAAACAAACGTTGCGAACTAAATAAAAGATTGTAATTTAAAAAAAAAAATAGGAATCCGGTCTAAGAAAGGGCAAACAGAGCTTTATATAAATTTTATACATCATTTTAGAAGACTGGTTAAACCAATCGCATAACAGCGAAAAATAGCTCTAATACAGTGATTCTTAACCTGGGTCCGATTGAATCTCCAGGGAATGGGGAAGTTCAAGAATTTTTAGACATAAAAATGTGCAATTTAATAATGGACACAAGCGAGAAAAGTCTCAAAGGTATTTGAGAGGTGCATAAATTAATTTAAAAATCTTGCACGGCGTAGTTACAATTAATATGGTTATAAAATCCTGTCCGTCTGGTTTTTTTCGGACTTTACTAAAGATTGGACGTATTTGATGTTTTTAACATTTTCGGTAACTAAATAAAAATAAAAAAAAAGCAAAAACAATTTGGTTTTCACGTGTAATGGCGACCTAAACAATGGCATCCTGCTATTGGATAGGCCGACATAAATTTTATTGTACACATTGTAAGCTAAAAATAGAAAACTAGGTCATGGGGTTTTAAATTTGCATTGTTATTTAAAAACTTGATCTGCAAAGTTTTGTAAACAAATAGTTATCGATCACTAAGTTACTGCACAGCCAATCAATATTTGTCTTACGAAAGTGAAACATCCGGTTATAACTTAGGCTTGATGAAAATAAATAGAGATGTAGCCTTAAACTCAACAAATTATTTTCAAGTTCTCTGGATTTGCAACTTTTATAGCATTTATTCTAAAAATATAAAATTTCTTAATTAATTTTAGGCTTAAGTTTTTTTTTTTTTTTTTTTTTTTTTACGGTCTAAATCTAAAAAGCACGTTTTTATTCCATGTCAACAACACTATGGAAGGAATCTCGTCAACTCGCTTGTCTCCATTAAAGTGACTTTGTGTATTAAAGAAAAAGAAAAATGGGTAAAAACAAATTTAATATTAATTTAAGGTGTTATTACAAGCTTTTATTTAGATAATTAAAGTCCTTATGGTCTAAATTTATGAGTTAAAAATTAATATTGAAAGTTTTGGGAATTAATTTTCATTTATCAAACTGAAAGTAATAATTTTCGGCATGTTCATTAAACACAAGTTTTAAAAAAAATATCATCTTTTACAAAAATTCTAATTATGTCTTTATTTAGTCCTATAGCACTTACTTCCCTTTGATAAATTAGGAAAACACAATTACTTCCCTTTATAAAACCATTGCATTAGTGGAAAAGAATTTACTTTTTATTACTTTGTTTTGGTGTTGGGAAAAAAAATAATTACATAATTAGCGGGGATTGATCAAGTGCAAATGTTGTAGGTATTTTACGGATAAGCTTGGAGTATTATAATTGTTCATTAAATTGAAACAGGCGCGTTCGTTTAAGTGAGTGCAAAAGACTATGAATAAGTTGGGGTACTATAGTCGTTTATTAAGCTAAAACAGGCGATTCCGCCCCGGGCTAGACTGTGAGCACTTTGCGTTTATGTTCGCGTTAGTGTTTTCTTTGTGTTTAGGTTGGGTTTGCGTTAGTGGTTGCGGTTTGATTTGGTTCGTTTTTGTTCTTTCTTTTTTCGTTTTTGTTTGTGTTTTTTTCTTTGGGTTTGTATTTGTGTTTTTGGTAGGTTTTGCGTTTGGATTTGGTTTGTTTTCGTTTGCTTTTTCGTTTTTTTTGTGTGTTGTTATTGGTTGGTATTGGTGTTTGTGGTTGTGGTTGGGTTTGTTGTTAGGTTTTTGTTTTCGTTTGCTTTTTCGTTTGTTTTTTCTTTATGTTTGTATTGGTGTTTTTCTGGTTGTGGTTGGGTTTGTTGTTAGTTTTTTGTTTTTGTTTTCGTTTGTATTTGTAATTGTGTTAGCGTTATGTTTGCGTTTTGTTGTTTTGGTTTTGGTTGGTTGTGGTTTGGGTGGGCAATGCCGGGTTTATTATGATTACTAAACACACAGGTCATGGTCTTTAACAGAAAGGTTTTTCACAGAAGCCAGAGCAGAGCCTGGCCGGGAAGGCTAGTAGTAGTCTATAATTTATTTTCTACTTTTTAGTGCAATATTACATAAAAGCTTGTTATTAAAACGTTTTTTATGAATTTTTTTTTAAACTGCGTATTTCTACGACGAGTGTCGGTGTGTATGTGTGTCATTCTGTATGTCATGTGTTTCAGTATGTATGTGTGTCCATGTGTATGTCATTTGTGTATGTGTGTCCGTGTGTATGTCATGTGTGTGTGTGTGTGTGTCAGTGTGCTAGTGTGTCAGTGTGTATGTCATATGTGTATGTGTTGTGTCAGTTTTGTTTGTGAGTACGTGTATATGCCATGTGTGTATGTGTATGTGAGTATGCATGTGTGTGTCATGGAGTATGTGTGTGTCTGTGTGTCCCACTCACACCTGCCTCTCTTGGTTCAAGGCTCTCACGGTCTATTAGCTCCAGCTCAAGAACAAGCCGAGATAAGAGGCTCCAGCCCTAACACCATCACCATCACCATCAATAACTGCAACATCCACAACTACAACAACAACAACAACAACACACATCCGTCTGGGTCAAAGTTTAATTTTAACTTGTAAAAATATACGATTAAAATTAAAAGTAGTTCTACTAAAGGAGAAGCTCATTTACAAAATAACACAGATAACCAAAGTAACACAGATAACCAAAGTAACACATCATCCCACCAGATGCCGAAGTAACAAACTGTATAACTCTGCTTCACCTGCTTGGACGGTCAAACCTAAACTTGACTTTAGTAGGCTTTGCAATCCCTGGATACATGATACGATGGAAGAAAAAAACAACACCAATGTGCAATGTGGCAACTCTCGAGCAGCCTTCATAAAAACGTATCTGGCAGGTTGTGGTATTCCAATGAACGCCGAGGGCTATATTCTACCTCGCCCGCAGGGAAGGTCAAGGTAAAAAGGGTAAAAAAAGCGTTGAAAATATTTAGAGTGAATAAAGAAAGAACCAAAACAAACATTATATAAAACACGCACCGGCAAGTATTATAAATAGCTGTGCGAAACAAACAAAAAATTAGTTTCGTAAAAATAAACATCGAACATAACAAAGGACTTATAATGTGTTAAAAAACTGAACGTTAAACATCTTATACCTCCAAACATTTTAAACATTAGCAATAATAGATTAATTAATAAAATCAAAGGCAGTGTTATATTTTAGTATTGCTTTTTAACACACCTTATATATATATATATATATATATATATATATATATATATATATATATATATATATATATATATGTGTGTCTTATCACTATTGTTGAGGAAAGTTATTAGAAAATGACTCCAACTTTTTAAAGTAATTTTCATTTTCCGTTTCCCATACTTTTTTTTGCATTATCAGTAGGCAACTACATTATTATCGGAATTCTTTCCCATACTGAGGAATAATAATAGAGAACCGAACAGCGGAGTAGGTTACCAATCATTGTATCAGAATAACAGATTTCTTCAACTATTACATAAATATAGTTAAGTAATTTATTACAGCTAATCGTTTTTGATTTAAATTAAAGCCAAAAAAATATTTGTTAATTCTAAAAAAATATTAAATAGAGAATATCTGATAATGATTTTAGTTTCCAAACTGATTAGAATAATAAAAAGTCAACCATATGCATAAAATTGTCATCTATTTTAGAATTTTCTACATTTTAAAGACTCTTGGGAACATTGTTTTAAGTAGCCTCCCTTTCTCTATTGAATTTTAACATGGGAAGTAACAGCAGAATTAAATGTTATTCCTGGTTCTTAATTATAGTATTGGAAGGGATTACCTCCAACACAATTAAGTATTACGTGTCAATTTGTCATAGGCTTTGGACTTCGATTTCAGCCTGCTTTTATTTTTGGATTTGCTTCCATAGCCTTTGTCCAACCAAGAACAAACTACAAGGCAGCAGATGTTGTTTTATTTTGGATTATATATATATATATATATATATATATATATATATATATATATATATATATATATATATATATATATATATATATATATATATATAATTATGCCCCCTCACCGCCTTAAGATGCACCCTCACCGCCTTAAGATGCCCTTTCACCGCCTTAAGAAGGCTCCTCTGCCCCTTAAGGTGCCCCCTGTCCGCCTTAAGATGCCCCCTCTCCGCTCAAGAGGTCTCCACCATATCGCCCTCTACCGTCGACTCCTCCAGTGATTCGTGAAGCTGGTAGGTCCTCTTCTCCTCTGCCGGAAACACAGAGCCAGAACTTCCGGCCGTGGAGCCGTTGTTCCGGTGATCCGGAAGATTCTCCCCTGGGCTAGACTCACCCCGGGGGTGGGGAATTGTATCCGAGCTGACCGCATACAAGCGCGGTCTCGAACCTGGGCTGTTGGGGTGAGAGTCTTTACGGAGGAGCAGATTTTCCGAGCAGTCGGAATTCCGGTGTTGGGGCACGATGACCTTCGTTTGCCGGAACTCCAAAGATGGTGGGTCGGACTTCCGGATATCTGTCCGACGGGATCCGTTATCAAAAGTACTCGAACGTCCACCGGGGATTTCCGTTAACACCGGAAGCGCGTCGTTCGAGAGCGCGCGCGGGTCAAGGTCAAGGTTATACGAGTCCCTGGACCGGTCGGAGTTGACGGTGTAGGAGGCCGACGACCGGTCGTCGGTGTCGTAGCTGTCGTAGGAGCTGGAGTACCTGGCCACTTCCTGGCTGGACGGAGAGCTGACCAGGGAGACGCCTTGCCGGTTGGGTAGGGGAGGTAGCGAGCCGGTACCGCGAAGTACCGAGCTGTTGGGTACAATGGTTGTAGAGGGCTCGGCTAGTGAAGCGTTGCCGTTAGGGCTGTCACTATGTAGTGTGGTAGTGCCCGTGTTTATTGAATCGCCCGGAGGAAACGTGAATGTCTTTGTGATATCCTTACCACCACTAGATAGTGAGGTAGTGGTCGGGTTCAATGAACCACACGGAGGAAATGTAAACGTCTTTGGGTTTACTGTATCAGCGCTAGGTAGTGAGGTACTTGCGTTGTGTATTACGTGTCTAGTTAGTGAGGTAGCAGCCACTTCCGGTGCGCCGATCACAAGACGCGCCGCTCCCACTTCCGAGTGCGTGCCGGCGTCGCAGCCGAGATCGCTGGCGGTGCTGGTACCGGCTTCCACGCAGTAGGAGGCCGGCTGCAGCTGCTTGACGAAGCCGTGGCCGTACAGCTGCGGGTCCCGCTCCGGGTGGTAGCCGCCCCGGGAGTCCAGCCGCGCCTCCAGCCCCGCGCCCTTCTCGTGAGTCGACACGTCCGTGTCTGGGGACACCTGGGGAGTGGGATGGACATTTTGTCGTTAAACTGATAGCACATGGACATTTTGTCGTTAAACTTATTGTACATGGACATTTTGTCGTTAAACTGATAGCACATGGACATTTTGTCGTTAAACTGATAGCACATGGACATTTTGTTGTTAAACTTATTGTACATGGACATTTTGTCGTTAAACTTATTGTACATGGACATTTTGTCGTTAAACTGATGGACATTTTGTTGTTACACAAATAGCACATGGACATTTTGTTGTTAAACTAGTTGTCATATTGATAGCACCTGTCCATTTGGTCAAAAAATAGTGGCACCAGGACAATTTGCCTAAAAGCTAATAGCCTTAAGCTGGTGATAATATAACTAATACTATCAGGAAACGATGCGGGCTTTAGCATAAGAAAACTATAAAGGAAAAAAAAAAGTTGTTAATACTAGAGCTGGCTGTAGAGGATATTCTAGCAGGAGCTGAGTACGTCACGGTACACGTAGCGCACGTGCATGCTCATGCCAGCAAGACATAGCGCTGTTCTATACATTGTGTATCTGTGTGGTTTCTTCACGTGCTGTTGTCATTGACTCTTACAGTCTAATGCTATACACAAACACAATTAGGTTTTCTCCCAACTTAACAGACGTGCCTATAATACACGCCCTTGATGTTATTGATTTAAACATCTACATAAGCCAAGTTCTGATCCTAGCCCTGACCCATGTGCCCTGACCCGTGCACCATTACCCAAGTGCCCTGACCCGTGCACCATGACCCATGTGACCTGACCCGTGCACCATGACCCATGTACCCTGACCCGTGCTCCATGACCCATGTACCCTGACCCGTGTACCCTGACCCATGTACCCTGACCCGTGTACCCTGACCCATGTACCCTGACCCATGTACCCTGACCCATGTACCCTGACCCGTGTACCCTGACCCGTGTACCCTGACCCGTGTACCCTGACCCATGTACCCTGACCCGTGTACCCTGACCCATGTACCCTGACCCGTGTACCCTGACCCGTGTACCCTGACCCATGTAACCTGACCAGTGTACCCTGACCCGTGTACCCAACTGACCATTCAACTGACCACCCAGCTGAGCTAACAACTGACCCAATAACTGACCACCCGACTACTTGACTGAGCACCCAACTGAGCACCCAACTGACCCAATAACTGACCACCCAACTGACCACCCGACCACTTCACTGACTACCCAGCTGACTACCCAACCGACCACACCCACCTTAGACTGGAACTGGATGTTGAGCACTATCCCAACCACCAAGAGCATGATGGCGGCGGCCAGGATCAACATGCCGATGACGTGCAGCGCGCTGAACTTGGAGAACCCCGTCTCGTCCTCCATGGCCACCACGGTCAAGGTCACCCCCGGCACGAGCAGGGGGATGGCGAAGGCGATCATGCACATCCCCATGCAGGGCTTGACGTTGTCGCCCAGCAGTTTCTCCTTCAGTAGCTGGAGGCCGGTCACGTGATTCCCGGCCGTGCCGCTGGCCCTGGGGGGACAAGAGAGATCATGACAAGGAATAGATGAACCCTTCAGTGGTTCTTAACCTGGGTTTGATCGAACCCCAGGGTTTTGGGGAGTCATTTTTAGGAGTTCGCTGGAGGTCAAGATACACAACCGACTCATATGATTCATATGATTCATACGATTCATATGATTCATATGATTCAGGATCTGATTTTTTAGAACTATTACGAGGGGTTCGGTCGGTGAGTGAAAATTTGAAACTGGTGGAATTCGGTACCTTCAAAAATGTTAAGAACCACTGGTTTAGATGTAGGAAACTATCACATCAGAAACTGTTACACATTTTATTAGAAAATATTTTCACTTAATACATTCAGCGTGAGAGAAAAACATGTCTCTTGTCGTTTTTTCAGAGAAAATTATTGCGACAATTTTGCACTTTAATGGCGTTATATTAAAACTGGGTGAACACAGCGATACTTGGTTGAACCGTGCACTAAACCTGGCAGCTTTCCAGTTAGCCACTGCGGCTCTACCACTCGGCCACGCCGCGATTTTAACCTTTTTCTCATGAACTTGTGAATCGTATCAAAGCGATGCTATACTTCCATTCAATGTATTCAAATGTAATGTCTTTGGTTTAATGTAATCGGATCTATTGTGGCTCGATTTCATGTATTCGAATCTACTGTGTCTTTTATTCAATGGATTCAAAGTTATTGTGTCTTTTAAAATGTATTTGAATCTATTAGGTCCTCGATTAAATGTAATCGAATCTATTTTTCCTACGATTAAAAGTATTCGAATTTATTGTGTCTTCGATTAAATGTATTCGGATCTACTGTGTCTTCGATTCAATGTATAGGAATCCATTGACCATACAATTCAATTTATTCAATTAGAATCTATAGTGATGATGGTAAAAAAAAATGCATGTAGTTTTAAAGGCTTATGGCGTTACTAGGCATGCTGCCCAGCTTCGCTTAGGCTTTCGAAAACATTGAGAATTTGAATGCTTAATTAATTCGCCCGAAGGTCGGTCTACGACCTCAAGAGTTATGAAGAGGTTCCTCCGTGGACATTTTTTTTCGATTTATAGCTCATATAAGGTACCGGTCAGTCGAGGTCAGTTTTGACCCCCACATCGTAGACTTTTCGGCCAACCGGCCCCCGTGTTCTGTCGCACCAAGGCAAGATCATGCCAAATTTGAAGCGCCTGCGGCGCCGGGAAGTGCCCTATCGGACACCCGACAATCTAGATCTAGATCTAGATTCCTAAAAGAATTTTTTTTTTAAATTTAGCCCGAGCATAATAAAAAAGAATACATTAACAAAGTTGACTTGCTGTGTCTCGAACCCGCACCACCTGCGTGGTTTAATGTACACTAACATCTCCGCTATTTAGGCACCTTATAAAATACGGAGAATGAAACACGTATTTTAAAATCTTAACTTACGCGAATATGCCTATTCTTTCAAATTAATTTTTTATCCCAAATTAGCCAGTTCCAAACAAAGATTTTGTATAAAATAAATAAGTCTTGAAATAGTTTAGTCCTAATATAGACATTTATTTTTGGAATTGATTTTAGAGAAGTTAGAGTCTAAATCTAGATCTTAGCGTCTACGTCTAGATCTAGTTATTGCGTAGATTTAGATTTAGATTTAGTCTAGATCTAGAATCTCTAGATCTAGAATCCAAATACATAAAATAAATTTTATGAGTTTAGGCCGGAAAAATTGTATTGTATACATTTCATAGTGTACGTAGATCTAAATCAAATTTGAATGAAATAGTTCATTTCTTTTCATTCTTAACACGGCAGATGACGTCATTAGTTAATGTATAAGCAATAGTGACGTCACAGTTTTATGCGTTCTTTTTCACATATATTAATGCTTTTCCGGTTGCATAAATAATACTGTTTCTCTACATTCGAATACGCCTTTAATTTTTATTTTTCTTCTTTAAGTAAAATTGTGGTTATACATTTAAAACATCTAACATATTATTTTCAACAAAAGTCCGTAAAAAATTCTCGATATATCGCTGCCGATTCTGACGTGATGTCCGGCGAAAATTTTTTGCGGACAGAGAAAGAGAGAGAGAGAGAGAGAGATGTGCGCACATTGGGCTTTTATAAATTAGGATGATTTATGAACAAAAAAGCAAAAAAATAAAAATAAACCATCAACACTTACGTCATTTGAGCAGTTAACTGGCCATCTATGGGCTGTCCAGGTGCTGACTGGGCCACCGTTGATTGGCCAAATGTTTGATGGCCAGATGTTGTATGGCCAAATGTTTGATGGCCAGATGTTGGATGGTCAGTTGTTGGATGGCCAACCGTCTGACCGACAGAGACAGTGTGGTCCACTATCTGATCGACAGCAGCTGACTGTCCGGCACTATGGCTGACGCCAGCTTCCGGCTGACTCATGGTTGTAGTTTCATGACTCCAACATCAAGTTTGTAGTTTCATGACTCGAACATCAAGTTTGTAGTTTTATTACTCCAACATCAAGTTTGTAGTTTCATGACTCCAACATCAAGTTTGTAGTTTCATGACTCCAATATTAAGTTTGTAGTTCCATGACTCCAACATCAAGTTTGTAGTTTAATGACTCCAACATCAAGTTTGTAGTTTCATGACTCCAACATCAAGTTTGTAGTTTCATGACTCCAACATCAAGTTTATGGTTTATGACTCCAACATCAGCCCTGATAGTGCACAAAAAATAGTTTAAAAAGTAAAACAAATTAAAAAAAAACAACACGTCAGCTTTCTCCATTTTGTACCCATTATTATAAACACATATTAAGTATTTATAATGTCACATAATGAAGTAATAAAAAAACCACAACATCAAAATGAAACATTGGTTTCCTTACCATAAAGACAGGATCAACACAACACAAACAGCGAACATACAAGTTTAAAAGACTGAAGTTTAAGTCAAAATGTTTACATTGTAGTCACGGTGTAACAACATTTGTTTTCCCGTTACGCCCAATTAGCAGCGCTCATCAGTAATTAATTGTCTCATTAACACCAGCTTTCAATAATGAACAGGTTCAATAGCGAATTACATCAATAATTGAAGTACACTGGAGCACAATGCGGGTGGGTGAGGATAGGTGTACAGCTAATACAATGATCTGAAGAGGTCATAGATTAGGTCATATTACAACTAATAAAATGACCTGAAGAGGTCATAGATTAGGTCATATTACAACTAATAAAATGACCTGAAGAGGTCATAGATTAGATCATATTACAACTAATAAAATGACCTGAAAAGGTCATAGATTAGGTCATATTACAACTAATAAAATGATCTGAAGAGGTCATAGATTAGGTAATATTACAACTAATAAAACTGTGTGAGAGGTCATAGATTAGGTCATATTACAACTAATAAAAATGTGAGAGGTCATATATTAGGTCATAGTATGACTAATACATGTTGAGGATAGGTCATAGATTATATCATTATACAGCTAATAAAACTGTAAAGATAGGTCATAAAATTGGTTATAGTACAACTAATAAGTTAAGGATTGGTATTCGTTAGGTCATAATATAACTAATAAAATGGCGAGGATGTCATATATTTGGTCATAGAAAACTATTAAAACGGAGGATAGGTCATAGATTAGGTCATACTTCAACTAAAAAAATTTGATAATAGGTCATAGATTATGTCATTATACAGCTAATAAAACTCTAAAGACAGGTCGTATATTAGATCATTGTACAACCAATCAAAAGGCAAGAATATGTCATAGATTAGGTCATGATACAAGTAATTGTGAGGATAGGTCACATATTAGGTTATAATAAAATTAAAATCATGCCGAGGATAAGTCTTAGTTAAGGTCATATGATAGTTTAAAATTGAACGAGAATAGGTCACAACACATGTAACAAAATGGTCCAGATTAGGTCATAATCCAACGATGAAATGTTGACAAGTCAAATTCCAAACTTGACATCCTAATTACCAAACGTTAATTAAAACCAACTAATCTTAACTTTACCGTGTTGACATCACGTGTAGACGAACTATCCCAGGAGTTTTTTTTTCACCTGTGTTCCAGCACTATTCAACTCACCCCTAACGCGAACGGGAAATTCTTACCTGAGTCTGGAACCGCAGGCGTACAGGTGAGAAGTGGTGCCTGTATTGTCTGGTCTCCAGTTCATCGTCTGCTCCTCAGCGCGGGGGTAACACTCGTTTGATGTTGGCTAGCCCACGGGGGTATTTTTGTTATCAAGTAATTAGGTCAGACCTTTCAGAAGGCGATGCGATGAGTGACTGAACTATCTAAAAACAAGAAGAAAAAAATCTTGTATCGCTATCGACTCAACACAGCGAGTGATGATAGACTAGCTAGGCGAAATATGCATGTAGTCGATGTCAAGGCTATTTTTAGAAGTCAGTGAATTCCCGCTTGATAGCGAATATTTTTTTGCTCATGCGCGGTAAGGAAGGAAAAAAAAAGTATTCGTAAGCTTTCTTATTACTCAGAGTAAATATCAGCTTAGGACGGCTTTGCCAGTTATTTTTTTTTTTTTGCCACACCTAGAAATAGTTGGCTTTGTGAATGGTGGAAGGAACACAGTTTTGAATGAACGGAAAAACGAATACTCGTGTAGAAGCTTATGTGTGCGTGTGTGTGTGTGTGAGCAGTGTAAGCACGCGTATGTGTGTAGGTTATCTTTACACGTGTGAGTTTGAGTGGGTGTTATGTAAGTGCATGTTTGTGTGAGCACATTCTGTGTGTATTGCGCGCGCGCGTGTGTGTATGTTTGTCGCGAGGGACGTCACAGGCCGCACAATACAAAAATCTATTGATCTAAAATCAATACGTTTTGACGACGCTATTGATCTGCTACGGGTCAGGTACGTATCTCCGTTCAATAGCTCACTCGGGAAATCGATGACTACGTCATAAGTATTGATGATCAGCGTTTCTTTCAGCCATCTCTTCGGGCAACCCCCCCCCCCGAGAACATCTACAGTCCCTTGTCCCCCCAGAACAAAATAAAATTTATATAGAAAATATATGTTTTTAACAGTGCCCCCCCCCCCCCCCCCCCCCCCCCCAAATTTTTCTAATGCCTTCCCCGGAGAAAAGTTCTAAAAGAAACACTGTTGATGATGTCATGTGATCAAACTGCTACAAGCAAAACTGAAAAACCATCTCCACCTATGAAATGTGTCTGCACTTTTCTATTGAGATGTTAACTATTGATGCTAATTGTGGATGTTAACTGTTGATGTGGATGCTAAATGTGGATGTTAACTGTTGATGTGGATGCTAAATGTGGATGTTAACTGTTGATGTGGATGCTAATTGTGGATGTTAACTGCCGATGTGATTTTAACTATTGATGTTAATAAACGTGGAAGTTAAATTTATATATGGATGTTGATTGTAGATGGGGATATTACATGTGGATGTGGATGTTAACTGTTGATATAAATGTTAAATATTAACTGTTGATGTAAATGTTAACTGTTGATGTAAATGTTAACTGTTGATGTAAATGTTAACTGTTGATGTAAATGTTAACTGTTGATATAAATGTTAACTGTTGATGTAAATGTTAACTGTTGATGTAAATGTTAACTGTTGATGTGAATGTTAAATGTTGATGTAAATGTTAACTATTAATGTAAATGTTAACTATTGATGTAAATGTTAACTGTTGATGCAAATGTTAACTGTTAACTGTTGGTGTAAATGTTAACTGTTGATGTAAATGTAACTGTTAATTTGGATGTTAACTGTATATTTATAAACCTTAGATGTTGGTGTTAACTGTGGGTGCTAAATTCTAAAATGTGGACGTAATTCAAATTTCGATAATCAACGGACAAATACCATAAGTTTTTATATCAACAAAAACTCCTTTTTAAGCCCACACCGAAAAAAAAAAAAAAAAGAATTTCTGGTATGCACTTGAATATTGAAGGAGAAATTAGCAATTTTAACTTACAAGGGAAATAACTCAACACGATTTGGGAAAAATAAATTATATACTTGTTACCTCCCTTTGAATATTTTCCCTGAACGAGAGAGCCAGGAAAAGAACAAAGAAACTCAAATATTCCGGAAATTGTAGAGTTCATTGTTTTCTTCAACCACTTAAAAAAAAAATACTGCTAACTCTTTAACACAAGCGATGATGAGTTATGTGCCTGCTTTAGACCAGACGTTAACTACACCAGGCAGACGGCTGCAGGTAATTCAAGTCAGGAGGTGTTTAAACGATTTGTATTGTCAAATAAAGGCTTTGAAACAAATAAATGTGTTCATTTATTGTATTTGAGTATTTTTGTATTTTAGTATAAACAGGAATTATAAGAAATTTATTAATTTATATCATGTTCTAGGTTATATAAAATTTAACATGTAAAAGACATTTCGTAACTTTTAGCTTAGGTAAAGTTTTGTTAGGCTTTAAATAAATTATTTTATTTTAGATTTGCAGAATTGTTAGAAATTGTATGGGTGGTTGGATAGGAATGTGATGGTGGGAATATGATGGGTGGGAATATGTTGGGGGAGTGTGATGGGTGGGAATGTGATGGGTGGGTGTGTGATGGGTGGGTGTGTGATGGGTGGGTGTGTGATGGGTGGGTGTGTGATGGGTGGGTGTGTGATGGGTGGGTGTGTGATGGGTGGGTGTGTGATGGGTGGGTGTGTGATGGGTGGGTGTGTGATGGGTGGGTGTGTGATGGGTGGGTGTGTGATGGGTGGGAATGTGATGGGTGGGAATGTGATGTGTGGGAATGTGATGGGTGGGAATGTGATGGGTGGGTGTGTGATGGGTGGGTGTGTGATGGGTGGGAGTGTGATGGGTGGGAATGGTGTGGATGTGTTTGTGATGAGTGGTTGTGTAATGGGTGGGAATGTGAAGGGTAAAATTATGAAATAGTTATGGGTAATAGAGATGTCTATAAATGTGATCTTAAATTTTTTAAATTAAATTTGCTCTCTCTCAAGCATAAGGAAGCTTCACATTTGATATTAAAGTATATTACATTTGCTCTCTCTCCAGTATAAGGAAGCTTCACATTTGATCCACTCTTGCATTGAACGTGTGCCTACGAACATTTATTCCCTCCCTTTCCAATTTAAAACAAAACCAAACCAAAATTTAAAATTTAATTCCCTCTGGTTGAGCCCCCCCCCCCCACCCCCCCCCACCCAACGCCTACTCCTCGCCATCTTAACCCCCGCTATGTTAAACAACACAATTATTATTCTCCACCAAGCTTTAGAACAAAAAAAAAACTTAATATTATTACAGCGGCCAGACATTTGAAACTTCAATTATTTCTCAATGTAAAATAAATGAATAAATGAAGAGAGTGCGCTGCATTAATTTGATCTCCTTAATTTGACACCTAATTCAATTAGCCAGTGCTAGGTTACGTGTAGCCTGACAAAGATAAGTTCAGTGAACATAACAACAAGGGCTGTCTCACCTTGTCTATGTAATGTAAGATATTCAGATACACATTTGGAGTTACAGAAAATAAAAAAAGCAAGGGGTGGTCCGAAAATAACGTAACACTGGTAATTTTGTGAAGATGTGTGTTGGGGGGTGGTGGTGGGGGCAGTGGCGAGCTAGGATTGTTGGGCCCCTATGCAAAAAGTTTTAGTGGGCCCCTCAGAGGCGTAGCGACCCTTCCCGGCGACGGGGGACAAACTTTCGATTTGCACCCACCCTCAGACTTTCGATTTGCACCCCCCCTCTCAAACTTTCGAAAAAGGGCCCCTATTTGCCTTGGGCCCCTATGCCTTGCTTACGCTAGCTTTACGGTAGCTACGCCACTGTGTGTGTGTGTGTGGGGGGGGGGGGTAGAGATAGTGTGATGTCACATTTTTGCATTAAAAATAAAATTAGAAATTGAATTTCAGCCGATATTTCGTGATTTTAGAAAACAGTTTTTAGTAAATAGTACAAGATATTGACATTATTATTGATTAAGATACTCTAAGATCACCAAGTTCAGTTATTAGGGAAAAAAAATTGATGATCCCCCAAAAAAAGCAATATTTTGTCAGTTGTGGCATATTTTCCCCAGTTATCCTATCATATTATTTGTATAACAGTTGAACCATTTGCATTCCCCCCGTCTCACATGGTTGTGTGTCATCATTAGAAGTCAGACCCACTCTCTCACCATCTACCCACCCTCTCAATGTCTACATTGTCCCCTCCCCTCCCCTTCCAATATCCTTCAGAGTTCATAATGGGAAAATTAACTTTTTATGAAAGTTTTTTTTTAATGAATAAAATATCAAAATCAAAGTTCTAATTATACTGTTTTATTTCACATTTTACATATCGCCCTACATTCAACATTTCAGTTAAGAACGAAGAAGAAGACTGGTCATAGTTATTGACAGACAAAATAAACTAGAAACACGTGACGTATTTTTTTTGAATATTGACATCATTTTATACAGTACATTTTCAAAATACAAAATACAATGAAATCACATGTTGCTCCCCCACTCACCCCGCCACTTTATGCATTACCACATATTTGAGAGAAAAACTAGACGGCAACATGTAGATTTGTTTTAAATAATTTAATGTAGTAATTAATGGAAATGGCTATAGAGTAATGTATAGTGTACATAACATAAAGACAATTAAAATTTCACATCCAAATGCGTTTGCTCACCTAAACCTAAACCTAAACCTACAGGTTTAAAAAAAACTGACAACACTCACGCTAAACCTTCCACAGTCAGAAGGCATCTGCAACCAACCGTGACGAAGACAATAGAAAAAAAAACAACTCACACCTTGTAGTCGTCATAGCTCGTGGATCTGACGTCATCCTAGAATCGAACGTGTCGTGTGCTGTGCGTACAACACACCACGGTATCACTCACCCACAACACACCACACTGCCCGATGTACACTCGTCTAGGTCTGTGTCTGTATGGTGTGTGAATGTGTCTGTGTGTGTGTGTGTGTCGAGAGATGAGTTTTATTTAAGCACGATCTACTTCTCTACCGCCCACGCGCGAGCAGAAGGTCAGCGTAATTAGGTCAACATCATCATCCAAAAATGGGTGTGTGCTCGTGATCTCTCAACTGCTGTACAACCATTATCAGACGCGACATCAACCTTTGAGTTTTTTTTTTTTTAAATAGCTGCAGCTAGTGTTAGACATTTTTGCAGCTATAAACATCAAATGTTAGCGATGGCTCCACATCATATTTAGCCGTAGATGCTATCTCTAGCCATAGATTCCAGCTCTAGCTATATATAACAGTTCTAGCTATATATGTAACAGCTCTATCTATGTATATATAACAGCCCAAGCTAAATATAAAAGCTTTAGATATATATAACAGCTCTATATATTTAATTAAGTTCTAGCTGTTAATGCTATATTTCGTTCTGGTAAGCAGTAATTACCGTTACTAATATGCCAATGTTGCTGTTTGTATGTTTATCCGTCTTTGCCTATCTATCTTTCTGTAGGTATACAGAGCCGGAGCGACGGGGGTGGGGGCGGGGGGTACATTTGTCCCCGGGCGCCGACCCTAGGGACGCCAAAATGGGTTGGAAAAAATATAGAAAAAATATAGTGGGGGGGGGGGGTGCGCCAAATTGAAAGTATGTCCCCGGGAACCGGGAGTGGTCGCTACGCCTCTGTAGGTATGTATGTATGTATGTCTGTGTCTTATGTTTTAATATGTGTTTTTTTTGTCAGTAGGTGTTTCAGTATACATCTACCTCGTTAAGCCTCTTTATAAAATAAAAACGTTTCATGTAACACACAGCCAACTTAGAGGTAATAAAATAAACTACCGAAAGCGGTAGCAAGTCATTTTCTTCGCGTTAAACAAAGCCATTTTTTAAAACAACACGATCACGTAATGCGTTGAAATTGTTATGACAAACTTGAAAGACTGCTCTATGATAATTATGTTCCACAGAGGTATGGAGGTGTGTGTGTGGGGGGGGGGGGGGGGGGGGGAGAAGAATTCCAGCAGGTTCCAGACACCTTTTTTTACACCCTCGTCCAAACCGCGTTCCACTTCGCTGATCACGCGAGGAAATTAGCAGCGACGCCAGAACCGCTAATTACTTAACCAGATCGTATTTTCTTTACCGGTGCGATCAGTTCATAGTTGATTTCAGCCATAGTTCGATTAGCTTGGGAAAAGTCACTTTAGCCATACTTTGAATATCTGGGATAAGTCACTATAGCCATAGTTTGATTCACTTAGAAATGTCTCTGCAGCTATAATTTGATTAGCTAGTGAAGTCTCTTCAGCCATAATTTGATTGGCTTGGAGAAATCATTACAGCCATAATTTAATTCAGTCGCTTCAGTCATACTTGGATTAGCTTAGAAAAGTCACTTCAGCCATAATTCGATTAACCGAGGAGGTCATTTCAGCCATAATTATATTAGCTTGGATAAATCACTTCAGCCAAAGTTTGATTAGCTTAGAAAAGTCAATTCAGCCATAGTTCGATTAGCTGTGACGTCGTCGGTCGATCTAAGACATTGACGGAGCACAACGTGGAGATCAACTTCTTGTGTCGGACGGGGGAGGAGCTGGCGCAGGGTTCACAGGTCAGCAGGTCAAGGTCAGGGAAGTCGCTGGGCGGGTGAGCGCGGACGTACAGGAAATACAAGAGGCACCCCAGGCTCCAGAGGTCGGCAGGCCGGGCAGCGAACGGCTGGCATTTTTTGACTTCCGGTGCTAGGTAGCAGTCTTGGCCCAGGTAGTCGGAGCAGAGCAGCGGCTGACCGGTGGTCAAGTCGTAGCACGGCGTACAGAGCCCGAAGTCGGCGAGCTTAACCCTCTTGGAACTGAAGACCAGCACGTTGCTGGGGTTGATGTCACGGTGGGCCACGCCCCGAGCGTGACAGTAATCCACGGCCAGCGTGACCTGGTGGAAGGCCAGGTTCACGAAGGCGTCGTCCACGTCGGTTGACGTCACGACCATCTCGAGGTTGCCCAAAGGCGCGAGCTCCATGACGATGCACGCGCACGTGCGGGTGGTGAGCAGCTCCTCGGCCTCGACGATGTGCGCGTGAGCCAGCTCCAGGAAGGCCTTGACCTCCGCCATGATGTACTCGTCCTCGGCGATGGTCCTCCGGGCCACCAGCCGCTTGACCGCCCACCTGGTGCCGGCGGTTGCCTTGGTGACGCTGAAGACGTCCCCGAAGCTGCCTGCCCCGATTTGCTGGTGGAGCAGGTAGCCGTGTTGGCGCAGGAAGCAGTTCCAGAGTTTGGGCTTGGTCAGCATGTCCATCTCTTCAGGGATATCTGGGGGGGGGGGGGGTCAGTGCGTGGTGGACCTTTACTAAGGTCAGTTTGAAGGGGATTTTTTTGGACGTTTGGTACGAGGTGGACCTTTGTGTAAGGTCACTGTGAGAGGGACATTTTAGTTGTTTGGTACAAAGTGGACCTTTTAGATAGTTGGTACAAGGTGGACCTTTTAGATGACTGGTTTGAGGCGAACCTTTTAAATGGTAGGTACGCAGTGAGCCTTTACAAAGGTCATTATGAGCCGGAAGTGGACCTTTAAGGTCAGTGTGACCTTTTAGATGATCAGTACGAGCTGGGCCTTTAATAAGGTCGATGTAAGATCTTCACGCTGTGTACTTGATGGTTGGACTAACCATCGCACTCCAGCAGTCCAACATTATCCAGTAGCTGTAACTTTAAACACTGACACAACCTTTTGTCGTTATATTGTCTCCCTTGATCGAATCGACATTTTGTCCAGAATATAATCCGTATGCAGGTTTATTATTTTTTTTTTTAAATTTTCAGCCTAGCAGACGACAGAAAGCTTAACCTGATTTTAAGAAAGAGGACACCAAACAGTCGTCCATGTTGAATGACGTCACAACCGTCTCTACGTTGCCAGTTGTCGATTGGTTACTTTGATTAAGAAGTCATTTGATCGTGAAGTTAATTAACGTCGTTTTTTTTTAAATTAAAAAAAAACTATTTCCTTGCTTGACATTTATTCACCCCGTCCCTCCCCTTGAGTTTAAGACAGTTTAAACTTTCAGGGTAAACAGATTCAGCACGTATTGAAATGTTGTGTACACAATCCCGACCCCCCTGTACACAATCCCTATCCTCCGTACACACCCTGCCAAGTTGTATATCAACTCAAGCCGGCAGCTCAGGTGCGAGACTGGCCAGGACCAATGTCAATTGTTGGGTGAAATCTTCCAGGCAGGTGTCAGATTAGGGGAAACAGCTCCATTCCACGCTGTGGGAATAAAAAAAAGATATAAACACGTAAATGTTACATTTAGCGAAGATAGGGGGGGGGGGGTCGTTTCCAAAAATAAGGTTAGATTGTACCCTCATGGAATTAAATTGGATAATCTTTTTAAAAAAAAAAATTATATGCCAGTTACTCTGAGATGATGGTTAAAAATATTAAACTTATGAACATGTTAAGTCAAAAAAAAAATAAGGCGGAATATTTTTTGGCAACATGTAAACAAACTTTTTCCTGGCAAGAGAGGATATCCACACGTGACCACTTTGATTCTAAAAATACACAACCGCAATGATGTTTTCATTACTATAATCTCGACGGCATCTCGTTAGAAACACTGTGTCTATTTTTAGAATGAATTAGCTTAAATAAATTTTTTATTTTAGCTGCGAAAATAAAAGGATTAAAATCTTTCACGTTAGAATTTTACTAAAATATTTTTTTTTAGATCAAGAAGAAATGTTAAATTTACTATGAAATCGATTATTTTCAAAATAAAAATCTGTAATAAATCCAACATCTTTATCGAATATTAAATATTTTTTACATTGTGTCATTTGTAAGTAACACTATAGTGTTTCTTCCCCCACCCCACATAATTTCCATTCCATGATAACACAATTTATTAGGAGCGATTTGCAGAGGCGTAGCGACCCTACCGGCGCCCGGGGACAAACTTTTCGATTTGCACCCCACCTCAGACTTTCGATTTGCACCCCCCTCAAGCTAGTTATGTCTGCAGCAGAAGCCAATTTCTATACCCACTCTTGCCTTTACTTTCCATGGAGTCACTATTTCTCGCAATTTAGCCATCTTACTGCTGTGAAATATGCAGGTGGAACAGCTGTCCAGCAACTTATCCATTGCAATTAAAAAATGGCGAATCTTGCTTGCATTTTTCGCTATTTGAGTCACAATGTTTTCACCAATGTCTGCAACACTGCGGGCAATGGTATTTACACCCAAAGCTACATTTTCAAATTGTTTGTAATTTTCTGGACAAAGTTCCTCAGCCACTTCTAACAAACATTAATTCAGTGGACAATAAACCGGGAGTGATCTCCCCTAAACTTTCTCAAATATTCAAATATAGAACTACGAGGGATGGCAACTCAGGACATAGACAATATTTGTAATCCATTTTTAATTACTTTAACTTTTTATAATAGAATGGAATCTCGTAAAAAAAAAAAAAAGAATTGCCCACCAAGTGAACGTCTAATAAAATGTGCATAATAGTGCGCAATATTATGAGTACATGCGTTTTTTGAGAAATCGGAAATAGCTTAAATTAGTACTTCCGGTCAACGGAAATTACTCCAAATTTGACAAAATTAGATCTTTTACTTACATGTGAAATTTCATTTATCTATCTGAAATAGTACTCAAGTTATAGGCTTTTGAAAAATTCAGAGTAGAAAAAGTACCACTTCCGTTTATCGGAAATTGCTCAAAAGTTGATCAGGATCTACGATTTTGATAAAATACTTATATATGAAATTTCATCAACCTAGCTGTAACGGTACTCAAGTTATCGTGTTTACACACAGACACACACACAGACATACGGACAAGATTGCAGAGAGAGAGAGAGAGAGAGAGAGAGAGAGAGAGAGAGAGAGAGAGAGAGAGAGAAAGAGAGAGAGAGAGAGAAGTGCGCATATGGGCTTTTATGTATTAGGATTTTAAAATAGCCAAGGGAGACTATTTTAAGCAAAGTTCCAAGTAGCTGTTTAAATAAATAAAAATTGAGTAATAAGAAAAAAGATGATAAAACATTACTTTTATCTTATAAAAATACGAATTGAAAATATTATTTGAGTTTATGTTACCTTTACTGTTTAATTTAAATACAACTATTAAATAAATAATAAAAACCCCGTCATAAAAGCCATAGTTTATTAAGTATCTAATTCTTTTATAAAATACAGAAATTGGCGTTCATGCAATGTCTCGCTAAGTTCTGTCTCCTTAACATTTTTCTAGCCTACATATTTGATTTTCTTTATTCTTGTATTGTCAAAAAAAGTTGAACTATCCAGCCATCATTTTCAAATTTTTTGTTATGCTCTTGGTTTTGGTCATTTAAAAAAAAGCATTTGTCAAAGTTATTGTATGAATGTTTTGTTTATAGCATTTATCTTCATTTATTTCTAATTTATGATTTTTAATAATTGATCATTATGGTACACTATGATTCATATTATGTGTGGTATTATTTTCTTTTGAAATAGAAATATGCATCAATAATAAGTAATATAAATAAAGCCTTTTGCTTATTAAAGAAGAAAATTATATTCATCTTCAAGTGCAGGTACTTGATGTTTTTGTAGTGTAATAAACTACCTAGTCCTTAAATATGTAAATATTTGCTGCTGTAATTTTATAGCATGGAAAGATAAACACCAATTCTAGTATAAAAACTAGTTCTAATACTTTTTATAATTCTAATTATTGAGGAAACTTTTTTTTGAAAATAGACTATGACTTTCTTCAAGGACAGACAACCAGATTTTCAATGATGTAATAATTATCAAAATAACTAAAAAAAAAAAAAAAAAAAAAATAAAAAAATAAAAAAAAAATGCTGAATGATAAAAATATACGGAGTTCATCTAACCTCTGATCCTTTGTATCATATACTATTTGTTGTACTTAGCCGTTATTATTATTTCCCTCTGGCTCTACTTTTGTTATTTTTTTAAATTTTTTCCCTTTCTGTATATATCAACCATCACATATTGGACATAATGTAAATTAATGTTCAACTTATCCCTTGTTACTGTTGAACATGTTGTAACTTTTTTTATTGCAAATAGAAGTTAAAAAATAAATAAATTTTATAGCCTAAGCCAGGGTTTCTATTGTTGCGTATTTGTGTATTGTTTTATTTACACAGCCTACAAAAACTGCTTTACTATTATCTTATATGTATGATACTTTGGTCCATAATGTACAAAATGACCCCTCCTCCTTTTGTATTCATTTTATTATCTGTACATTGATATTTACAATGGTTTTGTTAACTTTAATAACATGAATAGCTTTATTTGAATTCTTTTATGAGAACACTGTTAACCAATTTTCGACCTTTAAAACTTCACTGTATCCCCACACCCCGTGATAGCTACACGCCTACCCACCCGTAACCTGTCGGTACTAAACATTCAAATAAACATAAACATATAAGGTTAATCGCTCACATAGCAATCTGTTCGTCAAACCCTCCCCCCCACACACACTATAAATAGTACCACCTTACAGTGGCGTAGCGAGGTCGGGTGTCACCCGGTGCGGCACTTAATGGTGTCACCCCACCCAGAGGAGTAGCGACCCTTCCCGCGGACAAACTTTCAAATTTACGATTTGCACCCCCTCCTCAAAATTTCGATTTGCATCACCCCTCAAGTTTCTCTTTATATATTTTGCTATTTTTTGCCTTGGTGTCACCCCTTAAATGGTTTCAGCCGGTGCGGTCCGCACCCCCCCCTCGCTACGCCTCTGCCACCTCAGCAGTTATATCACACAACACAGATTTTGACGTTTGGCTGGCCTTAAACACACACAGACACTCTCTCAATGCTTCGTCAGACACCTCTACCCCACCCCCCCACCTCTGCCCACTTCACCCTGAGACATGATAACCCCACATCCCTTTTGACTATTCCAAAGACCTCACCACCAACCCCAACATCAGTTTCAAATATTTATTTATTTATTTATCTAATTTTGTATATCACTATTGTACAATGTAATGAAATCTGTGTAAAACAACTAAGTTTGTGGGTGTGTGTGTGTGTGTGACTACTATACTGTTTATACATAGGGTGAGAGCACACACCATATGAACTGTATATTTTTTTTAACCAGCCATTGTTTTCTTTGTGTACATAAGTTACAAACATTCACCCTCATTCACTGTAAGATCTTCACTTCTTCACGCTTTGTCAGCCACCGCGACAGACAGACAGACGGACAGACGGGCGGACGGACAGACGGACAGACGGACA